GGAAAAAATAAAAAGCCCCAATTTATAGTCTAGGGCTCTCCAAGAATCCAAAAGAGGAAGTGAAAGAAAGAGTTTATATAGCTAATGATGTCCCACAAGCAAAAAGAGTTTACAGGAAGGAAGGGAGTCGCCAATCAAAAGGAATCTCCAAGAAATTCAAGTTCAAGAAGGGTTGATTGCTATTTTGACCGTAACTTTTGCTTCGTTACTCCACTTAAGAGCTCAATTTAAATTTAGAGCCCGACTTAAAAGAGATCTAGTGAGTCCAGCCTAAAGTGATCCACGCCCAGTTAAGTTCATCAGGGTTTGAGGAGCTACATCAGCAAGGCAGCATATAGGGTCATCCAAAAGTCTCATCCTCGCGATCTTGGAAAGAGTCAACCCCCACGTCATCCTTTGACTGAATCCTATGGAGAGCATGGTAATTGCCTCATCAGTTGAAAAAAGGACACCAGCTCCACCAGATTAGCCACTTAGTTACTAATAACTCATCCAAATTTGTTATGAGGCGACTATAAATTGTAAGTCACGCCAACACTTAGGGGGCATCACACTCAGTCAAGCACAACTCTCATATCTCTCTCACTTTGTACCTCTCTGCTCTCCCTACTCAGTTGAAGTAATAAAATATCCCGACGACCCTTGTCATTCAAAGTGGACGTAGGTCACGTTACCGAACTACTATAAGCCTCGTCTTGCTTTTGTCTCTATCTCTCTCCTCTTAATTACTGTATTTATTACTGATCACTTGATAGGTGGTGTGCAAAGCCAATTTGTGCATTATATATATTTGATATATTGATGTTTATAGTTTTCTTATGTTTTATTATAATTGTTTATATATTATCAAATTTATAGTATTTTCTTTAGTGTTATTGGTTTATTGTATTAGTTAATTGTTATAGGTTACTTAATTAAATTATTAAAATGATCCAAAAATTAATAACTAAAAATATGTGTTCATCCGATTTTCTATCCGACTTCTTACCCAATTGTTTTGGACTGAATTTGGGTAGGAATAGTATACTTGATCCAGTAGAATTGGCTAACAAAAAAAAAATTCTACAAAATATCAAGTAGAAAGATAGAATATCAGTAGAGCTCTCAAGTTTTCATCTTTCCTATTCTACTTCTCATCCTGATTTTGTTCTTGCATTAAGCATTCTCTCCTTTCTTCAATAGCCATTAAGAGTTTGACTTATCACCGTTCTGGGCACTGGCTATGCTTGATTAATAAACGCAATTAATTATTCTTCATTAAATTTTTTAAGACGAAATGGTCTTCCATGATCAGCGCATGACTTGGGTAAATAATTATATTTATCTGGTAAAAATTATATTACGTACATGTAGGCATGTTACTTTATTTTATATGATTTGAAAAATAAAAGGATAACAAACCCTAATTCTCCATTTGGTACAACGAAAAAGTGGAGGATAAATAAAAAATCATGTTTGGTAAACAAGGAAAGTAGGAATGATGAAAAAGTTGATGGATTAACTTTACTTCCAACTTACCAAAATCAATCCCTCCAAAATCGGAAGAAAAGTGGATGAAAAGTTAATTATATTGTGTTGAGATGTATCTTATTTGTCTATATATTTTATATATATAATAAAGTAGAACAAAGTTTGAATCCAAAAAACAAAGAGAGGTCCAAATCGTTTTGAGACAAAACATAAACACATCCAACGAATAACATAATTTCAACATAAAAAGACGGTTCAGATCTTCTAAAAAATTTTGATCTAACGGTCTACAATTTATCCCGAACTTTGTTTTCCCGCCCATAAGCCCATGAAGAAGTCTTTTATCATGAGACTCTACACTCCTATCTCTCATACATCTCTATATTAAATTTGAAAAAGCACAATAACAACTCAGATTGAATTCATTTTAAATTAAATGATCTAAATTTCATCTAAATTCATCAAACTTAATCCAATGGCTCACAACACATCCCACAAAAAAAAAATCCCACAAGGAGCGGAGCCAAAAAAATACTTTAGGGTGGACACATTAATAAATTTTGATTATTTTTTTATCAATGTTACCAAAGACTTAATTCAATATAACTGTTATTTTAGTTGTAAATTTCAATGTTAGATAAAGTCTACTTTCAATTAAAGGAGTGCATTGAATTATGTCATCAAATTAGATTTAAATAGCATTTTTTATTTTTTTTCAATTGACCATAGAAGTTTATAAATTCATATTTACTATAATTATGCGTAAAAATTCATTAAACATAAAAGGTTAAAAAACGATTTGCATGGAATGAACAAACAAAAAATAAAAGTAAATTAATTAAAACTTCGTATGAGACTAATTATTATTATTTTACAATTAAATCTGATTATTTTTTATCATTTAAAAGAATTATAAATCAATGATATCAATAAATACTTTTTTTTGTATATAAAATGGTAATAACAATCTTTCATTTATTACCCTGTAATTTATTACATTATGATGCTCATTTCTATATAATAATAAAATAATCTTATAATTTAGAAAAATGAACGCGATATGTCTAAAAATTATTCAGACATGTTTGTGTCTAAAAATTTAAGAATAATAGTAATTACATCTAATTCGAAACTTAATTTTATATCTTAACCAAAAAAAAAAAATTAATTGGTAGAAATTCAATGGTTTGTAACCATTCGATGGATAATAGACGTTATTAAATATAAGAACTCACTATTAGATTTAATATCATAATGTATTAGTTTCAATAACATTATTTAAAAATTAATTATTATTTAAATAGTATTCTAGCTTAATCGATATCACAATAATACAATAATAAGGTGGACACAATTAAATATGTCTAAATTTTATTTTAAAAAATATATATTTATTGTAAAAAAAATTGAGGGTGGACACAATTAAATATATCTAAATTTTATTTTAAAAATATATATATCTAATGTTAAAAAAAAAAATTAAGGGGGAGCATTGCCCACCCTGGTCCAAGGGTGGCTCCGCTTTTGAATCCTACCCAATTTAACTACACCCAGATGCTACTCATTTTGTCTAACACACAACCCAAACTCTTTTTCTTTCCCTCATTAACCCTCTCACCTCTCTTAGTTTCTCAGAAAAAATTGTCATCCTTCTCTGTCTCTCATCTCTCTGTGCAGACTCCAATAATGAATTGACCTTCTTCAGCGACGCATGACATAATTTGGAAACCCACTGGACTTACCCACTCTGACCATCGACTCTCTTTCCATCCAAAATGTATTGACAGTGATCTAACATCTGGAAGTATTCTCGCTGGTACCCATTATTGTTGATCGTTGATGATTTTTTTGGTTTGGTTTAGTGGTGTATATTTTGACAATAGTTTATTGTTTTTAATTTTTAATGTTCGTGTGGTTTAATTGTGGATGTATTGTCATTAACTAATTGTTATTAAATGTTATATGTTAAAAGTGTATTGTTTATATCTTGATTTATGTTGATTTTGTTTAATTTTTAATATTACGATAAAATTTTGCATAAAATTAAAAATATTTCTATTAAACACATATAAAATATATAATATCTTTAAGTTTAGTGCTTCTTTTTTCAAAGTTTAACAATTTAACATTTAACCTCAATAATCACATACACACCGTCACTAACAACACAAAAATTAGTACTCAAATGGAAAATATCACAAATTTTGGACATGTAAGTTATTTAGTATATCGATTTTTTCAAAACCTTTGGTATAATATTTCATTAAAAACCATTATATATTTACTATATAATTTTTCATCATTCTTATTACAAATTGATTCATATCTAGAGTACACTGTAAGTAGATCTTCTTATCATGCATTTTAGTAACGATGGTTGATGTTTACTTCTTACTTCTTTTCAATCAATAAAATTTAAATTGTCTTTATAATCCATAAATAAATCATCAAGTTATTATTCATACCAAAAATAAATTACTGCTATACGAAAACCTATAGTTCTCAAATATTAAAAAAAAAAATCAAAGTCCAAGTTAATCAACAATTAAAAAAAAATAAGTGACCAATACAAAAAAATTAAGATACCAATTGCACCAACAAAAAATGTTCAAAACCAATATAATCTTTATGTGTTGAAATTATTTAAACATCCTAGTGTGTTGAAATTTTATAAGTAACATAGTGTCTTCAGACACGGGCAATGACTAGTATATATATATATATATGTATACATTAATTTCATATAAAAATACAATGATAAAATATGTATCTATATAATAAAACAGGAGTGTGTTTGAATTTTATCCCAGTCATATTTTTCCCCCAAAATCATTACCAATCACTTACCTCACCCATCATCTCTTTGTCAAAATTAAATGTCAAATCACATCATTCATTTCTTTCACATATTTAATCATTTATATATTTCCTTCTTAAAAATATCACACCACTCATTTCTATCATATATTTAATTAATTTGTAGTTAATATATTTTGAAAAAAATTTAATACAGTGGGATCAATTTTTTGGATACTCGAATTTTATATTTTATCGTGACTTCAGACATGAGTTATGACTAGTATATATATGTTTTTCATTCATCCAACCAAACACAAAGGAATGAAAGTGTATCTTTCTTACTTTCTATCCTTCCTACTTTTCATCATCCCTACCAAACGGAACATAAATAAAAATATAGAGCGAGAATTTGAAAAATATTATAAGACAAAGAGAAAAAATATTGATATATTTGAAAGATAATTTTTCTTGGACAAATATACCCTTAATGGGTAAATTCTATTACGTTTTTTTTTTCTGAACAAATTAATAGATTCAAATGAATAGATTAAATGGAAACTCACTTACAACTATAAAGGTATAATTGTATGAATTAAAATTTTAGGGACGAAATAAAACTTTTTTACAGGTCTAAATTGTAAATTACCCAAAACATTATCTTGAAAAGAAAATAGATAAAAAACTCTTTTCGCCAAGTGAAGCATAGGATTGCGCGGTGAGTGTTACTCCGTCTGAAGTACTGGACGGCCCGCTCCAACGCTAGGGCTGAGGTCACCTAATCCGCCATCTCCTAGCGACACCGACTCAGCTCTGCAACCAACAAAATAGCCATTTCTATTCGTAAAGAGTCGATTAATTTTCATTCTACTAAGGGAAAAGCCATCCAATCAACGAATCAGGTGCTTTGAATTCATAGAAAGAACATTCTTTCTTATTTCGACTTTTGTTTTGATGAAATTTCTGAATCATTTGACTCTCTTCTGTCTGTCTAGGATTTGTTATGGCGCATAGGCTGTTGAGAGACGTAGAAGCTGATGGTTGGGAACGATCGGACTTTCCGATCATATGCGAGTCCTGTCTCGGCGACAATCCATACGTTCGAATGGTTAGGCTTTTTCGAATGACTTTTAATTACACTTGTTGTCCAAATTTTGTTTACTCCACACACTGCTACTTATTTGGTTGTCTAGGAGCTCTAGATCGCATCCATTTTTAGGTTTTTTGCTTACAATTATATCTGTATAGTCGTTTACACCACAAACTGCAAGTTATTTGATTGTTTAGGGGCACTAGATTTCATCCGTTTTTCGTTTTCTGCGTAGTAACATCTCTGTACATTCGTTTACACTACAAACTGCAAGTTATTTGGTTTTGTATGAGCCCGTCCTAGATCTCATCCGTTTTTTCTTTTTGGCTTACAATCATATGTGTGAAGTCATTTACACCACAAATTGCAAGTTAGTTGGAGCCCTAGATCTCATCCTTTTTTGGTTTTCTGCTTACAATTATAACTATACAGTCGATTACACCACAACCACTCCAAGTTAGTAGGTGATCTTGGAGCCCTAGATCTCATCAGGCAAGCTAGATCCAAATCTGTGGGACTAGCCTTAGGGAAGATAATTGAAATCAGGACCTCCAGCTTTTTTGAAGTGGGTTCCTTTCCTTCTTGTGTAGCCCCTGGTTTTAAAAATATAAACAAGCAAGCATTATGATTCTTGGTTTCTTCCTGAGGGGAACCTAAAACATTAGATTCACCAGTTTTCAGAATATAGGTAGGGAAGGAGAGAGTTCTTTAAAGAGGTTTTTGAAATGTTTATTATTTCAGAAATCTGCAGTGATAGAAATTGTCAAATCATAAATTTTGGCACCTACTAACAACCAAATGATCTGAATTCCAATGCGTTACATTTTCATCTTGAACATGAGAATTACGGGAGTATATAGCTCTTCAATTATAGACAAATTGACTTAGTGGAGATCTAATTATTGGGGTTGAGGAGGGATTAATTGTTTGTTTGAGGTGGAGGACAAACACTGTGAATGAAAGTTGGAGGTTTATGTTGTACCTATTCTATGCCTTTAAACTTCCAACCCCTTGGATCTGTGGGATTACCCTTATGGTTGATTGTATATGGTTCAGAACTGTTTTTGTTGCATTGATATCCGTGAAGTATGGATACTTTGATTGGGGTAATGTATCTGTATCCGATTCTCGTTAGATACCGGATAAGTATTGAATACTTTCCACATGTATCGAATAATTAATAAAATATTTACCATTGTCAGGTCGAATGCACGTATTTCTACATTGGATACATTAACATTATAGTAAGTAAGGTGGGTTGTGCAAAAACCATGAATCATACAAATGAGGATTCGATATTCCAAGATGTTCATTTGGCTTAGATCACATAAATCACAAGATTTGTCAATTCTCTACAATTTGCTTGGCCTAAGTTATAAGTTTTTATTACTTATGTCAAAGCAAAAGAAGTATATTGTATGCTAAGTAAAAGTTAAGGTCTCTTGAAGGGTAACGCATTACAACTTTAAAATTACATAGAATATTAGATTCAAAATACCGTTAAGCAGTCCCTATATGAGCAATATAAATGGTTTTAGTTTGGGATGTATTTTATCTATTAATCCCACGTATCCTTAGTATTGTAATAAAATCCTATAGTACATATAGAGCTATCCTAGCCCTATCCTTATCTTACTTTTAAAATTTTGTCGTATCGTACCATATTGTACCCGTATCCATATCCATATCTGTGCTTCCTAGATTGATATTCTCGTATGTGTAAGTTAATATATGTATAGGCTAGCTATTTCAAAAGGAGAGCATCTTTTTCTATAACGGTATATTTCCTAAGGTTTTCTGAATACATAATTGCAGCACAGATGTGATTTTCTTTAAAGGGAAACATTAGTTGTGCTGAAAGTCCTACATTTGCTTAAAAATAGTTTGATTCCTATTTGATGGACAGTTTGTGTCCCAATTCAGTGGATCTCAAATTTTATCTATATTTATGACTTAATGTTGTCCTGGCCTTTTATTTTGGCTTCTAAAGTTTGGTAAATTCTGAACATGCAATTCAATATTAAGTCCTACATTATGTTTGACTAATGTGTAGTGTTTCTAATATCAAGATAACTGGGATGATTTTGATGCAGACAAAGGCAGATTATGATAAGGAGTGCAAGATTTGCACACGACCTTTCACAGTTTTCAGGTGGAGGCCTGGTCGCGATGCTCGGTACAAAAAAACAGAGATTTGTCAAACTTGCAGCAAGCTAAAAAATGTTTGTCAAGTTTGCCTCCTTGATCTCGAATATGGGTTGCCAGTTCAGGTTCGAGATACTGCTCTCAGTATCAATTCCAACGATGCCATTCCAAAGAGCGATGTGAATAGGGAATATTTTGCCGAGGAGCATGATCGCAGGGTATGTTTTTTCTTTTTGAAGTGGAAGTTAAAGTTTATTAGCAGCTGGCTTGTATATCGTATTACAATCCATGGCGTATTTCTTGATGCATATGGATATTTATATCACATACTTAGATGCAAATTCAGTCAGTTGAAATATTGGTTTTGCTAATTGGAAGTTAAATATTGGTTGTGTATCACGAGGACTGTCAATAGGGCTGGGCAAGCATGAAGCCCACCCCCATTTGACCTGCAAAACTCTGGCTCGAACTCCACAAGGCTTTGGTTTAAGATGAGTTTTAGACTTTCTTTTCTAGCCTGCAACTGAGTTTGAACAATGACTTGTAGGGATTAATCAGGACTTTAAATGAACCATGTGAACTTGGTTTGTAAAAAGAAAGATTTCAAGTTTCCGTCTCTTATTACATGTATATAATATAATTCCCTTAGCATATTAGAATAATCATCTGGCTTTGAAGTTAATTACAGAGTTGTGTTTGTTCCTGAGATAACTAGCCATAGTTTTTTTTGGGGTTGGGCTGGGGTGCAGGTTTGCTTAAGACACCGATATTGCTGTACAAGATCCCTAATTTTGAGGGTCAGGAATCCCGTCTTGAGGGAACGTCATTTGGAACTTCATAATCCACCAGTGGGGTTGTATTTCGTCCCGAGATGGGCTGATTTTCCAAATATGATTATGCCCTTTTAATAGCACTCCAGTCCAATAGAGTCCAACTTCTTTTGACAAGTTGCATCCATCACTCTGTAGTTTAGTATAGTTGAATCATTCTTGTACCTACATGACAATTTTTTTCGGTGGAATTCAGGAAGTTCATCAATCACGACAGGCTTTTTGTTCATATAATGTGGAGTGAGGTTTTAAAATGATTTTCGTCTGTTAATTTTTCTTCTTATATAAAAGATAGCCACACATCACGTGCAACTTATTGAAAATTTCAGTATATCTCATGTTTAGAAATTAAGTCCTTCCTCGCTATAAATGCTCGCTTCAGTCTGGGCCTTGCCTGTGGAACAGCGTCAAAACTGTTAATCTCTCCTAATTCATGTTGCCTTGAAATACCTAAAGCTGTTTTTTATCATGCTTCTCTTATTTCTTCGCTCTGAATCTCATCTTCGTTCTTTTTTTTTTCCTTTGTTAATGCACTCACTATTTCTAAAAAAGGTTTCCTCTTTTTGTTCCGCTCTTGTGAATTAAAAATTGGTATCCCTATTTTGCATTTCACGTCTGACCTCATGCTCTCCTCATCTGTGGAATTTTTTAGGACATGATTTGGGTTACCCTAAAAATTTGAAGTGTTTCCTGAATTGAGATTCACTCTTGTTTGGGAAATAAATGTACTTCAAGTCAAGTATCCAAAATTCTTTATAGATGTTGTAAGATGGTAGCCTATTGAACCGAAAAAGAGAGTAAAGTAAAACAAATTTGTAGATGCGCAATCTCTCTCTCTCTCTCTCTCTCTCTCGTGAAAATGGCAATTTAATGTTGTAATTGCTGTATGCAGGCCAGAGCTGGTATTGATTATGAATCTTCATATGGAAAGGTACGTGCAAGTGATACTATTTTGAAGCTTCAAAGAACGACACCATACTACAAGAGAAATCGAGCACATGTTTGCAGTTTCTATGTTCGGGGTGAATGTACAAGAGGTGCTGAGTGCCCTTACAGGCATGAGATGCCTGTCGAAGGGGAGTTATCACAGCAAAATATAAAAGACCGTTACTACGGGTATGTGGAATGTTTGACACTTTGTTTCCATCAATTTTATTGAGCATGTCTAAGTTCTGGCATATGTGTACCTGTTACACCCCAACCCAGAAGGATATACCATTGCCGGGGAGTAGCCCCACTTTAATGCAATATATGCATATGTTGACAACAACAACGATAACAAGTGACACCATCTGATTAAGACCTAAGACAAAGATTTTTTAATATTTAAGATATTTAAGAAGAATATAGGTAGCTTTATACTTGCATTCCCTGAAGTACCAAAAGTATTGCTTCTTTATTCAGTCATTTTGCATGTTCTGTTCACTTCTAACCTGGACTCATACTTCACTGAGACTCTAAGTGGATCCACGTCTAAGGTGAATCGCCTGAAAAGGAGAGGGAGGGGGTGAGTTATGCCAATTGAATGTTCATAATCCATAAACACAGAAACCTTAATAGAACAATTATCGATCACTAACTTTATGTTGAAAATTTAGTTAGCAAAAGACTTCCATCAATATCAATTCACAACACTTTCAGTGTAAACAAATACTTAGCTCACAAAACTATAAACATCAGAAATGCACATAGAAAATATGAAAGGTTACAAAGTATAGCATAACTCATCATCTCATCTGCACATAGCATGTTCCAGTACTGCTGCTCCATTGGCAGAGAAATATGCATGCCTCTGCCATTTATATCTTACTCTGAGTTGAGCTGCTGGACCATAGCCCAGAACATTTCTAACACATCTCAACACCACATTTATCGGAAAATCAATTTGATTCATAGCAATGTAGAAACAACGTTCACTTGTTTATAAACATAATGAGAACTCATACTCTGGTTTTGATTAATCTTTTATGTGAAGACCAGTTTCTATATATCATAAAGGTATAAGCATTGATTTTCATTTAGTTTTTCAGTATTTGCGAATAAATATACGCCCTTCCGAATAACCAACATTATCACTAATGTTTAATGTCAGTTCCTGGGTGGAGCAGAGTCAGTCTGTTGTGGACTTATAATAATAACTTATAATTGATATACTTCATGTAAAAAACTAACATGTTCATGTTATAGAAGAAATTGCATGAAGTTTGGTGCTTGACAACAAGAAGTCCAGGACTCCAGGTCAAGTGCATATTAGCCTATAACTTGGGTTTGTAACTTGCCTACACTTTTTCAAGACTAATCCCACAAGTTCTAGGTGCTAGGCATGCCAGTTGAACACTTTAGGAATTACCAGTGGATGAAAACCTTGGGGAATAATAAACAAAAAACTAAATTAAAACCATACAAACTAGGCAGAACAGGATGGGGGTGGTTGCCTTAGATACTGGAAGCTTTGCACAGTAGGGATGTCTATTCTGATCTGGAGCTGAATTTTTATTTTTCTTCCATTTACTAAACTCCACCCACCTTCATCCCCATGTCAACTCTAGCTCTAGCACACGTGACCCATGCATGTTCTACCATAGAAACATCCAATATATCAATTTAAACACGTGAAGACTATCTTATTAAACATGTTTAAACTAAGATACATGTAAAACCATCCTACCATTTAGAAGCTGTTGATTCACTTTGAGACACTATCCAATCTAAATTTCTTACAAAGTTTAGCCTTACTGCACAAAGCTAGTGTTTTAGGATTGACAGTGCATTGGGATGGTGTGTGAACGAAAACTGGACTTTGAAACTTGGAGAAGAAACTATAATCAACGTTAAGAGTTCTGCCATGTATACTTTTGTTTTCTGTGTATCATAATGTTCATCTTAGATTTTCTTCCCCTTTGTGTATTTAAGTATATGTGTGTGTGTCTGAACTTTGGAGTATATATTATCTTTTTGATTACATGTGCCTATTTGAGACATTTATTTTTTGACAGGAAACATAACTGCAATATATATTAACAAAATATGGACAGTACATCAAAAAGGTTGAATAAGAAATCCAACCAAGAAAAATTTAAATACATCAAAGCTATATATCACATGAAACTCTACATCCCGCCAAGATATCAAAAAGTTGAATCTCTTGACATTTCACTTTGATCTTCAAATATTCTTCAAAATTATTGCATTCGTTTCTTTCCATACAACCCAAAAGATGGCAAGAATTGTACATCTCCACAGCGTCACTCCTTTAGCAAATCTTCCGTGCCCATTCAGATCTTCAACAAACAACATAGGTGATTTGGGAAGAACCCAAGTCAACCCGGCCAAGCTAAACAACCTAAACCACAAAGACAAAGACAAAGGACAATGAAGGAATCAATGATCAATACTCTCAATATCACCCTTACACATCACACACTGAGGTGATATACAACAATTAGGTCTTCTTTTCTGAAGCATATTAGTGGTGGAATATACAACAACTAGTCATAACCCGTGCTTGAAGATACGATGAAACATAAAATTCAACCTCGTAAAAAATCGATCCCCACTATATTAAATTTTTTCAATATATTGATACTATTGAATAATGTTTGAAATAAAAATTAAATATTATATAATTAAAAATGTGATAGAAATGTGTGACGTGATGTTTTTACGGGGAAAACTATATAAGAGATAAAAATTCAAGTTGTTGTATGTTTTATTATATAGATTACATCTTCTTTTCTGAATCATATTAGTGGTATTAATGTTTTCATGTGTAATAGTCCATGCAAAAAATTGCATCTTATTAGGCACTTTAGCCTTTCAAATCATCAAGTCATGATTAAAGAAAGGACAAAAAGATTCTTCCAACAAAGAAGCATTGACTAGAGAATACACCTGAATACTCAAGGATCCATCTTCTTTGATCACATAACTCTAGATTCAACAAGGATCTACTAAGAATATCAAGAAGTGATATCAACTCCATAGTCTTTATCATCCAAAATCTCTATCATGTGAGACATTTTGTTCTAACCAAGGATCAAAATATCGTTTCGAAACGGTCGAAACATCTGAAACGTTTTTGTTTCTAAGGAGATCGAAACGAATCAGTGATAGGATTGAAATTTTAATACTTCGATGTGTTCCATAATATTTCGAAATATTTTATTATATTTCAATGTATTTGTACAATTATTTCAGAATATTTTGATATATTTTGACAAATGTTTTAAAAAAATAATTTTTAAAATTTTTATTTTTTCATTATGTTTTCGAAAACGGTTCGAAACGTTTCCGAAACATGTACTTTGGTTGTGGATGAAAATTAAATTGAAGACAACTGAACCGATGTTCTCCCAAGTATAGGGAGCGTGTTTTTTTTTTGAGTAAATTTGAATGATAATTGCAAGATGTTATCCTTTCTATTATGCTTAACAGAATAGTTGTTAAATTGCAATTCGTATCATGAATCGGAATGCTAAATTTGAGAATCGTATTGAATTGTGAATCATAAGATTCAACACAAAATTTGAACAAAAAATAAAAAATAATACTACATATTTAAAATAAAAAAAATATTGAATACTATTGCATTCTAAAAATAATCAATTGACATAATCACATCGTATAAATGGAAAGACGCTAGTCTTTTGTTTCATTTTTATCTTTTGCTTAATCATTTTCAAATTCAACAACTTGAAAAAAAAATTCATTAAAGAATTATGGTTATTTAAGAATCAAAATAGTAACACCTAGTATAGATTAAGTTACAAACATGAATGGAAAAAGAACAAATGAAAAAATTGATTGGGAGAAAATGTACTGGCCAATATTTTGAAACAAAAAATTAGAATCTAACAAATTACCTATGAAAAAATTGAGAGTAAAAATCAACCGATGATGCGAGAACGTTAGTCGTGACTTTTAGCTTTAAACAATGCAAGACGAGCTTTAGACGACGTCAGAAAGAGAACGAACAAAAATGTTGAGTTTTTATTATGGCGTGAGTTCTTCTGTAAACAAAACGATGTCGTTTTACTGTTTAGTGGACAAAATGATATCATTTTGCCAAAAATTTAGGTTTTAAAAAAAAAAAGCAATTGAATCGTGCGATTTGTGAGATACGAATCGAATCGTACGATTCAAGTGCGATTCAACTCTAAAACGATTCTCATATAAGATACGAATTATTTTGTACCTATATCAAACCAAATTGTACAAATCGTACAATTTTGATAACTATGTTTAACAATTTAAAATTGGCAACCTTTTGAAAGCCCGTCTTATTGTTGAGGATGCACCTGTTCTGTTTGTTTCAGCTTTCCATTTATATATTCCCTTTGGATCTAATTTTCGGCATTTTTATTTTCACCTCAACTAAGTGCAATTATTGTTCCCATTTTCTTTTTTGCCCCTCCTCTCAGGCGTGTGCACATGGACATGCTTGTTCAGGCTCACTCGTATATTTTTTCATTCATTCGTGCTACATGAATTCTGTTATGTTCTTGATGCTTATATCTGCTATTTCCTTGATGTACAGGGTAAACGATCCAGTGGCCAATAAACTACTCAACAAGGCAGGTGAAATGCCCTCACTAGAACCCCCTGATGATGAGAGCATTAAAACCCTCTATGTGGGTGGGCTTGATGCAAGAATCACTGAACAGGATCTAAGGGATCACTTCTACGCCCATGGTGAGATCGAGTCAATAAAGATGGTACTCCAACGAGCTTGTGCTTTTGTGTCTTACACGACGAGAGAAGCAGCAGAGAAAGCAGCTGAAGAACTTGCAAACAAGCTGGTCATTAAGGGTCTAAGGCTGAAGCTTCTGTGGGGCAGACCGCAAGCCCCAAAGCCAGAGTCTGAAGACGAAGCAAGGCAGCAGGCGGCAGTGGCTCATAGCGGAATGTTGCCTAGGGCAGTTATATCACAGCAGCAGAACCTACCACTTCAACCACCGGGCACTCAGGATCTACCTCCTCCGCCAGTGCATTACTTCAACATCCCTCCACCGCCTCAGCAGGAAAGGGCGTATTATCCCTCAATGGATCCCCAAAGAATGGGTGCTCGTATTCCGTCGCAAGAGGGGGCTCCTAATGTGCCTTCAGGGTCAGGTGAGAACAAAAGTGGTTCAGAAAAGCCGCAGCATGGGCATTATGCTTACCCACCTATGCCACCACCTCTGGGTCAATTTTACCAGCCTTATTATGTGCCATATGGTTATATGCCGCCGCCTCCACCGCCACCACCATATCAACAATATCCTCCACCGCCTTATCAATCTGCGATGCCTCCTCCACCCCCTAGCGCTGACCCAGCAGCATATCAGCAGCAAGCACCAGCAGGTTCATCACAACAATAGTAGCTTGTGTGGATTCATTGTGTTTGTACCAAACATACACTTGGCAATCAACTACGAGTGGGTTATTGCCATTAAGTTATCAGATGCATTTCTATCTAGCACTTGTTTAATCGTTAAACTAATACTTCTTTGGCCATGCTATTTTCCTTGATTATTTGGCTGATAATGGTGAAGGAAATATGTTAAAGTTACCTTAATCTTGGCTGTAGTGCATTTTTTTCGGAGGCCATTCTACATGTTTTTTAATAAATACAACTTCATGTAGCGGGTAGAGAGACGTAGGGGGTGTCCATGCCCGGGCTGGGTTAGGCTTGTTAAAATTTTTTTGGGCTGAGCCTGTTTAGGGGAAACACAAGCCTTTACTTAGGTGGATTATCGGATGAGTTGGGCAAACATGTAAATTTAAACATGATATATTTTAACGTAAAAATGAACTATTTAATAAACAAGTAATATGACACGATTTGTTTAACTTGTTTAGTTTTAAATGAGTCATGTTGGGTAGGGTCGGTTTAATTCGGTAAACCACCTGTTAAACCCATTTATTTGTTTGTTTAAAAATGTTATATATATATTAACACAAAAAATGTGATATTTAGATATATCACACCATATTATAAAGTACAAACCACAATTCAAAATTAATTTATTATTATATTTTCTTCAGCTGCCACTAAATTTTTTTTTTTTTAAAAAATGTGGGTATCCCTAAAAACAATTTATGTATATTTTTTGTGGTTCACTAAAAAAAATTTTTGGCTAAATTTTTTTAAATAATTATTAATTTATTATTATATTAATTTTATTTAAACGATAAATGGGTTGACATAGGACTCACTCGAACACGACCCATTTACTAAACATGTCTGACAGGTTAACCTGTTTATCACTCGAATTCGTTATGGTCTCACTCAAACCTACTTAATTTGTAATGAGTCGTATCAGTTAATAGTGTCGAGTTAGACTTTGATAGCCTACCCGTAACCTAACCTGACACTCATTTAGTAGGCTATTGGAGCGTGTATATATATATATATACATACATTTTTATTTAAAAAAATTTTAATTTAATGTTTTTGTAAATTATATTTTTGAATAAAACAGAGGCAAAATTGATAAAAAGTAAATAATGAATAATTTTATTTGAGAGCAATAATTTAGTGTTTAAGTAAATGATGAATAATACATTAGATTAATCAACTTAATATTTAAGTAAATAAATTTTTTTTTTAGAGAAATATGTCCCTTAACTTTCAATGACTAATTTTTTACGGGCAGGTTAGGCTGGGCAGGGTGGACGGATTTTAATTGATTTTTTTGAGTGGGCTAATGGGCCGGGTTTTGAATTGGGTAATGGGCTTAGAGACAAGTCCAAACCTTATCTTCAAAGATATTATTGGGTTCTGACTTGAACGGGCTAATTATCAAGCCTATTTTTTGGGCAAAGTAACTGGTCTCGTGGGCCAACTTGACCCATGGCCACCCATATGTAGAGGTCGGAATTGTTAGATCTGGAGCGATGTCAAGTGTCCCACCTTCTCAGATGCATGATCAACATGAAGACCAGTGAAGTATATACTAAATTTTATTCAACACACACGAAAACACGTTGTACAGTGCTTCGGCACTCTCGACCTACATTCACTCTTCTCAAATTCACTCCACTGATATGGGATTTTAGAGCAAACACCAATAAACTTGTGAATTACAAAGACCCAACTCGCTAGTTCACCCAAGTAAGACTGACTTTGCTTAGAGGATGCATTACATATGCAAAATAATTACTGAAATCAATTCAAGTCATGCAATTAAGAAGAATAATAAACACATAAACTGACTCGATTGTAAAAAAAGAACTGGTTTATTAAATTTGATTAAGACTAGTGTTTAATATTATATATTCAAAGACATTATATATACACCACCAAGTAGGGTGGTCTAGTGGGTTACGGGTCTTACTCTTCACTTGAGATTGAGAGTTTGAGTCTTGGAGTCTCTTTTGAGACTTGGTGGTGGTTAGTCGCTATGTTAGTCTAACTAGGTCTGGTCCCGAAAAGTGTTCCAAGCGCAGTCAGGGACCTTATAATTCCACCAGTGAGTCTATTACGTGTTACCACATTTTGTAATCAGTTTGTGTGTCCCCCTCATGTTGCTTGCCTGAGCCTACTCTTTATCAATGACGCCTGTCAACCTCGAATAGTTCTTGAACCTCCGTTTGACAAACGGTGTCAACTCTTTCCCATGAATTGTTGCATCAATTGCCTCACATCCGTCTTGAATTTCGAAAATGACTGTGATATCATTTGTCCACAATTTTATTTCTTCGGCACTTAACGAAAATTGGATATCTTGACATTGAAAAATAAAATTATTTCCAAAATGATGTTATCACTCTTTCTACACCAAATTTTATCCACGTTTTTTTCTATGATGCTCTCAAACAGTAACCAAAAGGGAGTCTTCCTCAATGTCGTCTTGTGTTCTTCTTTCAAGACGATTTCGTCTATTGTCTTGATATTAGATATATATTGTGGATCATATATATAATAGTTATTTGTCGTACCAGAAGGCATGTAGTAATAAAAAAATAATCAACAGTAAACATATTTGTATTTATATCTAAAATCAAATCACAATCACAAAGAAAAAAAAAATATTTAAGCACCGGTTATAATGAAGGTGAGTGGTGGTGGGTAGCAGTGGTTGTGATGGAAGATGATAATGGTTGTGGTGGGTGCCGACATTCATAGGTGGTAACGGTGATGGTAATGGTAGATTTTGGGTGACGATGGTGATCGTGGTAGTCATGGGTGACAGTGATGGTGGTGGTAGACAACAATGATGGTGATTGGCAGTTGAGGTGGTGGGAGGTGACGATGGTGGTGGTGGAGCGACGAGGTGATGGCGGTGGCGGGTTGTGGTGGTGGCAGTGATAATGGTGGTGGTAGACAACGACGGGTGCTTTTGAGCGACAATGTGATGGGTGGTGACAAATGACAGTGGTGGTAGGTGTGGTGGAAGTGGGTGACACTAGCTGACAGCGATGGTGGGCGATGACGGATGGTATGGGTTATTGTAGTAGATGGCAATAGGTGGTGGTGGGCAACAATGGTGGAAGTGGGTGCTAGCGGTGGGTGACGGTGGTGATGGTTGTTGTGGCAGAGGTGGTGGTGGGTGCTGGCAATGGACGACAGTGATAACAATGGGTAATTGGTGGTGATGACGGTGTAGGGGTGGGGGGTGGCGGTAGCATTGGTGGTGGTGGGGTGATAGTGGCGATGGCTGTGGTAGTGGTGATGGTCGCGGGGGTAAGGGTGGTGGTGAGGCAATGGGGTGATAATGGGACACTAGCGGTGGTGGTGGGGGTGGTAATAGGGATGATGGTGGTGGTGGGTGACAACGGTTGTTGTAGCAGAGTTTGTGGTGATGGTGGTGAGAAGGGGTGTGGTGGGGGTGGTGATAAGGTGGTGGTAGCGATGATGGTGGTGGGGCGATGGGGATGATTGTAGTGACGACGATGGTGGTGGGATTGTGGGTGTGCTAGTGGTAGGACGGTGGGTGTGATGGTGGTGATGGAGTGGCAGCAATGATGGAAATGATGACGGTGGTGATGATGCTGGTTGTGGCAAAGGTGGAGGTGGGGTGGTGATTGTGGTGGCGGTGGTGGCGATGGTGGTAGTGGCGATGATGGTGGGGCGGTGGGGTTGGTGGTGATGACGGGACAATTTCAAATACTATTTTTTTTTTAGGGTTAATTAGAAATTGCATCCTGAAAGATCATTTAAATCTCAATTTACACCCTCAAAATCAAAAATATCAATTTGTACCCTCAAAGATAGAAATTTGTATCAATGTGCACCCCCAAAGATAAAAAATCTCAATTTGTACCTTCAAAAATAGAAATTGTATCAATGTGCACCCCTAAAGATAAAAAATTTTAATTTGCACCCTCAAAGATAGAAATTTGTATCAATGGCACCTAAAACTAAATTGATAAATTATACCTAAATCTCTGTATGCTTGTCACTTAATTATTTGGACCCCTTCACATTTAAAATATTACTCCTACATCTCATGACGTTTGTGCACGTGTAACACGTAACCCTTTTCGTTGATATCTATTAATATAATCGTTAAAAAATATAATTTTATCCTAATAAAAAATTATAATTTCATATTACTCTTTATTTTATGGGTCCAATATACTCTAAAGTTCAAAATCAAGCTTACAATTTGAATGTCTAATAGAATAAAAGGTTGCACATTGAGTGATATATTGCATTGGATATAAAAAATATTATATAAATATCTACATTCTATTGGACATTCAAATGGTAAGCTTGATTTTAAACTTTAAAGTATATCGCACCCACAAAATATAGGATAATATGAAATTATAATTTTTTATTATGATAAAATCATATTTTTTTAACGATTATATTAATATATGTCAACGAAAATAGATTATATGTTACACATGCACAAACGCTATAAGATGTAAGAATAATATTCTAAATGTGAAGGGGTCCAAATGATCAAATGACAAACATGAGGGGATCTAGGTATAATTTATCAATTTAATTTTAGGTGCACATTGATACAAATTTTTATCTTTGAGGGTAAAATTGAGATTTTTTATCTTTGAGGGTGCACATTGATACAAATTTCTATTTTTGAGGGTGTAAATTGAAAATTTTGATCTTTGAGGGTCTAAATTGAGATTCGAACTATCTTTCAGGGTGTAACTTACAATTAACCCTTTTTTTAAAATATTTATGAAAAATTATAAGTTTTATAAGCACTTTTAAAAAATATCTCAAACACACCCTTAAAAATTTTTTTTTTTTATTAAATTTAGGGTGTTAATATTAGTAGTCAGATTAATTTTAAAATAACATTTAACAAGATTTCAACTGCAAAAAAGTAAAATTTATTTTTTTATTTTTTAAATTTTGAATTGTATTGTATTTTATTATATATATATATATATATATATATATAATAAGATTGAATTGTTTTGAATCCAGAGGCAAAAAATAACCTAAGTCGTTTCAGGACAGTCCGCTCTCTCAGTTCATCGTCATCGACAGAAGCCACTACCAGCGACAACGGGCCTGCCAGTGCCACTTCTTACACCTATCAAGTATCTCACGTATCTCCTCTTCCTCAATACGTTCTCCATTGTTGTAAGTTGTAACCCCACCCGAA